CCGCACCGCTCTGTGTTTTGGTTTTTGCCCCTGCCCTGCTGAGATCAGAGGTTGCTTCCAGGCACAGCTTCCCCTGGGCGGGCAGGGCTGTCCCACCCCGGCCGGGCTGGGCAGGGCAGGGGCTCTGCGGGAGCTGCCCCCATCGTCTCCGGGACCGTTTGCATCTCTTGGTTCTCTGCAACGTAGTGATCCGTGTGTTTCAGGAGGAAGAGGATGGATGTGTTGCTGCGGGCGTGCACCAAGCTGCTCCTCCTGTCCCTGCTCTGCGCCACCGTCCTCGGCCAAAGGAGCAAACGTGAGTGCAGCCGTGGGTCCGTCTGCGGTCTCCCCTTGGTGCCACCCCACAGGGACTATGCAAACCCTTTCTGTGCTCCAGACATGCCGGTCCTCATGCGGATGAGACCCGTTGTGTGCCTTTCCTCCTGTTTTCTATCTCCCCAGCATTTGGGGCTCTTCTCTTGCTACCCCGCTGCTCTTTTGTAGCCAGCTTCCACCGACCACCCAGGCCAAACCTCCACCAGGAATGGGATCAGCCTTTCTCGTGCCCTCCCAGGGCTCACTTGGTTTTCTCCATTCCTGATGCCCTGATCTTTCCCGGTAGATAACCGCTGTGTGCTTGCCCGGGCGAAGAGCTGCACCGAGTGCATCCGAGTGGATAAGGACTGCTCCTTCTGCACCGACGAGGTGAGACCTTGCAGGGCAGCCCCCACTCTGCGGATGGAGGGATCCCACCATCCCCGGTGACAAACAGGAGAGGGACCTGAGAGCAGGGTCAGCTTCTGGCTCCAGCTTCTCTCCGCAAGGAGCTGGTCCGGATGGGAAGTGCCACAACGTGGGTTTCCTTTGGTGCGGACAAACGGGGAGGAAGAGGAGTCCGGGCAAACTTGCAGGAATACAGGGGTTTATCAGAAAATACCAGCGTCCCAGATCTGAAATAATGTGTGCAAGGGGTGGTGGGACAGTCTTATCCCAGATAACCCAGTAACTCACTGGTGGTCACATTTCTCTGCTGCTGGGGGACGTTGGCTTTTCTGTGTGAGACTCGTCCCCATCTCTCTGCCCCGCTCCTGCTCCCAAAGGCTCGCTAAATGGTCTCAGCGGAGGACCCTGCTCCCTGACCCTTGCCTTCCCCCCTGCACGGAGGATTTGCTGCTTTCTGCAGTCGTAACGTCGTTCTTGCCCCCCTTGACAGAGCTTTGAAGAGCCTCGCTGTGACTTGCGGGAGAATTTGCTGCGGTACGGCTGTGGGGAGGCCAGCATCGTGTACACCAGGGGCGAGATGCGGACCCAGCAGGTGGGTGCTGGGGAGACAGCCCTTGCTCGGCTTCTCTTGAGGGGTCCCACCATTCCCAATGCCCTTCATCTCCTACATCCTCCTCTGGAGTCTTCAGCTGGAAAAATACAAAGTCCAGGCTGCTGTTTATGTAGGGTCTACTCAAAAACAATGCTCTGCCTTTGCTAGCTGATGAATCTGTTGGCAACCAGCCCTGATTGCTTAGGGCTCGGGTAGCTTTCCAGGCAAAACAGAAGTAAGCAAAATGCCAAGGTCTGGAGGAGGTGCCGGGCCGGGCACGTGTGGACACAGGGGAGGTTGCCTTGGTTCCTGGCTGTAGATGAGGGAAGGAGCGTGATCATTCCTGCCTTTCCACTTCCCACGTATCTCCCCGCTCCTTGTCTCCTCCCCATTGCATCTCTGCAGGAGATGGAGCCCATCCCCTTCACGTCGCTCTTTCTTCACAGAATTTCAGTATCAACACATCCCTGCAGAGGACCCAGGTGTCCCCCCAGGGTATGTTCATGCGGCTGCGAGCTGGGGAGGAGATGAGCTTCAACATGGATGTCTTCCAGCCCTTGGAGAGCCCTGTGGATCTCTACATCCTCATGGACTTCTCCTACTCTATGTCTGATGATCTGGACAATCTCAAAAGCATGGGCCAAAACCTAGGTGAGACCAGAGCTGGGAGAAGGGGGGAGCCAGCTCCTGTGCTGATGAAGGCAGGCGGCTCGCTCCTGCCTGCGGCCGTCAGTTCTCTGCCAGCACCAGAGAAAGGGATGCAACCGGCAAAGGGCTGAGGGGTGTCTGGTTTAGGTGGAGTTTCTTATTATCGTTGCTTTGTGGGGGGATGTCTGTCCTGGCCCTGCAGGGTTCATCACGTGTGTGCTCTCCTTTCAGCCCAGCGAGGGGCCTGGTGCCCTGCAGAGTCGATCTGTGCAGTGGCTTTGGCACCTTGAACCTACAGGTGTGGTGTGTGCTCTTGCAGCAGCTCTGGTCTTGGAAAGGGGCTACCAAGGGTAGTATAGGTTTCTACCCCAAAAAAGACAAGCTGCAAGCCCAAAGAGCTTAAAAGCTGACAGTTTGGGAGTCTTATCTAAGACCTGACCAGCAGAGAAGATACCCAGGAAAGGATTTCTTTAAACATCTGTTTATTCACGTGTCTTCTCCTCCCTCCCTTCCTCTCCTGCCAGCGGAGTTCCTGCAAGCCCTGACCTCCAATTACACCATCGGATTTGGCAAGTTTGTGGACAAAGTCTCATCCCCTCAGACAGACATGAGACCTGAGAAGTGAGTGTGGCCAATGGGTCCCCGGGAAGGGAGCCGAGGGGAGGGCAGGTGCCCTCTGTTTCTCCATGGCTTTCCCGATCTTCAGCGTCTGCGGTGTGATAGCCTCCGTCCATCTCTCTCCCTTCATTGCAAATGTCTCCCCTGACCGCCCCACCCTGGGCTCAGGCCTTGCTGTAGCACCGTGCCAATGCCACCAGTGTCCTCCTCCACTTCCAGACCTTCCCTGCTCCGCCACAACACTTTGCATGTCTTGTCTTCTCCTCCGTCTCTGCCCTCATCCCTTCTACCTCTCTGTGCTGATGGCTTGCCAACTCAACTTCACGTCCTCCCTTGAGGGACTCCGCAGCCCCCGGGGGCTCTTCCCATACTTCCTCTCCTTGTACCCAGGCATCCCTTTGCTCCTGCCCTCTACAAAACCCCTGCTCTCCCCTTCTCTCCTAGGCTGCGTGAGCCCTGGAACAACGCCGACTCCCCCTTCTCCTTCAAGAACGTCATCCGCCTCACCAGCAACATCAACTACTTCAGCCAGGAGCTCAGGAAGGAGCGCATCTCCGGCAACCTGGATGCCCCCGAGGGTGGCTTTGATGCCATCCTGCAGACAGCTGTTTGCAAGGTGATGGTCACCAGGGCTGCAGGAGCCATGTGGGCAGGGCTCTGTTTTTTAATGAGTGGATCTTCTTGCTACTGGGTGATGAGCAAAAGAGCAGCATGGTGGGCAGCTGACGAGACAGCAAGGGAGCCCAGGTTATACGTTCAGCTACAGTTGCTTCTTGCCCTCCCAGCCACACGCTCCTGGTGCCGAGTTGTTTTGCATTCCTGATTTTTTTCCTAGGTCTTAGGCCATCGCTGTGTTTCTCTCCGGTGTTTGATCCCCAGCGCAGGAGCTGCTGGCTGGGCACCCTGCGTGTGCTTTTTGCTCTGTCCCCCTTCACGCCTGCAGTGGTGAAACTCTGCTCCCTGGAAAACAGCCTGCTTGGGCTTGGCCATTTGTATGAAGGATGAGCACAGCTCCAAACACGTCCAGAAAAGCGTGGGCTTGCCCTCTGTACATATATGTGCCTGGCACCGAGCTGCTGGGAGACATCCTATGCATTGGGGGTGCAGATGGGGGAAGAGGAGACCTGCTGGCTTGGGTTCCCAGAGCCACGTAGCTGGTTGCATTGGCTGCCAAGGGGAGGTGGTGCCTTGCCCCTTGGGTTTTCCTGCTCCTGGCAGTGCTGGCCTGCCAACGGCTGCAAGTACTGTGCGGCGGTATTGGAGGGGACAGAGATAAAGGTTCCTTCTCCGCCTTCCTGGCTGTAGGATAAGATCGGCTGGAGGAAGGACAGCACTCACCTGCTCGTGTTCTCTACCGAATCTGCCTTTCACTATGAAGCTGATGGTACCAACGTCCTGGCAGGGATCCTGGCGAGAAATGATGAGCAGTGTCACCTAGACACCAGTGGCACCTACGTGTATGACACCAAGCAGGACTATCCTTCGGTGCCAACCCTGGTGCGCCTGTTGGGCCAACACAACATCATCCCCATCTTTGCTGTCACCAACCACTCCTACAGCTACTATGAGGTGAGACCACGGCGGTGGCGCCAGGTGGGCTTCCCTTTCCTCCAGGACCATTGTTCCTGTGCCCTGCAGCTCAGCTGTGAGGAGAAAGTGTTCTTCCATCTCTTGTCCCCAAGGGCTAAACCAACACCTTGATACTTTGGGAGGGTACCAGGGTGTGTTGGTGGGCTGCTCTGGGTTGTGGCAGGTCTAAGGGTATATTATTGAGTGCAGGAATCTGGGCTTCTACAGGTGTCCCCGTGTTGGTGTCTGTTTCTTGTAAAGCAGCAGGCACATGGGGCTGGAGAGTAATTTAGGTTGGAAGGGACCTTTGGTCTCTGGTCCAAGCCCTGCTCAAAGCAGAGCCCACTTTGGTGCCAGAGGAGGTTTTTCAAGGCCTTGGCTCAGGGGACTCCTGTCTCTCTGCAGAAGCTGCACAAGTATTTCCCCATCTCTGAGATCGGGGTGCTCCAGGAGGACTCTTCCAACATCGTGGAGCTGCTCCGCACAGCCTTTGAGGTAACGGTGCTCTCTGGGGCTTCGCTCTCGCTCCCGGGGAGACAGAGGGTGGGCACCTCCTGCCCAGGGGAGCAGGCAGGAGGCAGGATGCGGCCCCTCTGGGGCAGGCCATGGGGTGGTCGCAGGTGTACTGCTGAAAATCAATGTTGTGGTTATCTTCTGACACCCAGCGCATCCGCTCCAAGATGGACATCCGGGCTGACTTTGTCCCTAAAGCCATGAAGACAGAGTTCACTTCCTCGATGTATGAAAAGACAGAGTCTGGCTCCTTCCACATCACCCGTGGGGAAGTGGTAAGTCCTTGGATGGCCCTGGAGGGAAGGCGTGTGTGCGAGGCTGAGCCCTCCGCTGCATCCCTCCTTCCTCCTTCACCCGGGGTCGGTCTGGCCGAGCTGTGGTCCAGCAGAGCTGGATCACCCCTGCGGCGTGTCCCTTCCTTCAGGGCAAGTTCAACGTCCGTGTGAAGGCTCTTGAGTACGTTGGCGGGCAGCACGTCTGCAGCCTCCCTGAGAAAGACCGGCGGGGAGTTATCCACGTGAAACCCACGTCCCTGAGCGACAACCTCAAAGTCACAGCCTCTGTAATCTGTGATGTGTGTCCTTGTGAACAGGTGCGTGGAGGGTCTGTGTTGCAGAGAGATGTCCTCCTCCTTGCCTGGGGTGGGAACGTGTTGGCTGGCACGTCTGGGTCCCACTCGACCCCTCACCGTTGCTCAGCGGAGGCTCAGCCTGGCCAAAGAGATCTTCATCACTGCCCGTACCAAGCTGGGCGTGTTGTCCTACGGCAGAGCTCAGTCTTGTGGGCAAAACTTTGCCTCTAAATCTGCCGTTCTGATTCCTGAAATGGTCTTGAGGGCAGCTGAGCCCCTTTGGCAATGCCTCTTCTCTTACAGCAACAAGAGTTTAACTCGCCCAAGTGCAGCTTCCACGGGAACTTCGTTTGCGGACAGTGCATCTGTCACCCGGGCTGGTAAGGACTTTGTCCAGCTCTGTACCCCTCCCGGGGTTCCTGCTGGGTCAGGGGACCCACAGTGACAGATGCTTCTGCTCTGGGCATCCTGCCCAGCACCCTGCTGTCCTGCACTCTGGTCCTGCCTCTCTCAGCACCATCTCCTCCCCACCAGGCGAGGGGACATGTGCGACTGCTCCCCGGCATCGTCTCCCAACAACGAAGCCTGCATCCGTCCCGGGGATGTGGAGCCGTGCTCGGGCCGGGGCGAGTGCCTGTGTGGGAAGTGCCAGTGCTACTCCGAGGACCTGACGCAGCGCTTTGACGGGGCGTTCTGCCAGTACGATGTCCTGCAATGCCCACGCCCCTCCGGCTTCCTCTTTGAGCAGCCCCATCGCCCCCAGCATCCCCCCAGCTGTGGGGTGGGATGTGCCCTGCTCTGTCCTGGTGGCACAAGCAGGGTGTCCCTGGGCTGGTGGCATTGGCGTGGGGGGCATTAAGTGACCAGCAATGGGCTGTGGGGACTCTGCGCTTGTGAACACGCAGGGAGGATGCTGTGTAGTCTGTTTGCAGCCCCTTTGCACCCTAAAGAGTCACAGACAGGGGCAGGGGAGCAGCACAGCACCGGACCCTGGGTAATTCCTCCTCTCGCATCGCAGATCGCGGTCGCTGCTCCAAGGGCGCGTGTGTGTGCGGTGTGTGCGAGAGTGGCTGGGAGGGTCCGGGCTGCGAATGTCCCACGAGCAACGACACCTGCATCGACAGCCGAGGGGTAGGTCCTGCCCTGCCTGCGCGAGGGACAACCGGAGCAGGCAGGGCTGTAGCAAATTGTCCCGATGCCCAAAGCTCAGGGCTACGGGGAGCTGACTCCCAGTGCCGCTGCGCATCTACAGTTACTCTTGGATACCAACTGCCACCTCTTCCCTCCCAGGGCATTTGCAATAACCATGGGAGGTGCGAATGTGGCAGATGCATCTGTGACAAGGCTTCGCTGTACACCAGCTCCACCTGCGAAATCAGCTACTCCCTGGTGAGGCTTGGCCTGGGGTCCCTCTGGGTTTATCACTTCTCCTTCCCATGCAGAGCCTCCAGGGAAGGAAAGCAAAGCAGGGATGAAGGCACACCTTGGTTAGGAGCAAAATCCTGAGCAGGGGTTACTCTTGCCTGTCCTGCCTTTGGTGGCCGGGAAGGGTCTAGTATGGGAGCTGCTTTGTAGCCATGGGGTTTTTTTGCCCTTCAGTTCACCGGCAGCAACTGTTGGATGTCTGTCTGTGTGTGTCTGCACCCTGGTGAAGGGCAGAGGTTTGAGGCTTGGCTCCTGGCTTGTTCTGATTTGCCTCAAGACTGGGAAAAAAAAAAAAAACACAACATTTCATGGTCTGGTGCCTCAGTTTCCCCATTGACAAACATGGGGTAATCCCACAGTGGAGAAAGCTGGCTTGGTCATATTTTGGAAAGGCCACCTAAAACCCTTGGAGAAGATCTCATTGCTGCCCAAATGCAGGCTGTCGGTATAAGAGATTTTGGAGTTGGCCGTGCTGGGCTCTTGGGCTTATAAATCCTTCGTTAGCTGCTTCTTCTCTGGGATTCTTCTTTCTGACCTTGCCCTGGTGCCGGGGTGAGGATGCAGCGTTGCCTCTCCGGCTCTGCCTTTCGGAGGCAATGTCCTCTCGCTCCCCGTGGGCCATCTCCTGACGGTCCCACCTCGCCTCTCTGCCCAGGGCTTCCAGGCTGTGTGCGAGAGCATCCGGGACTGCGTTCGCTGCCAGGCCTGGGGGACGGGCAACACGAAAGGGAACTGCAGCACCTGCCACCTCCAGATCCAGATGGTGGAAGAGCTGAACAAAGGTACCGGGAGAAGCGGAACGGGGTGCAGACATGTGTGGGCTGTCTCCTGTGGGCCCTGCCCCATGCATGTGTGAGTGTGGGGCTGCTCCCCAGATTTTTCCTGGTCCTGATGACTTTGCAACCGTGTTCCCTTTCTCTGCAGAGGAGGCCAGCGAGTACTGCTCCTTCCAGGACGAGGAGGATGATTGCACGTACCACTACACCCTGGAGGGAGATCCCACCGTCCTCCCCAACACCACTGTCAACGTGCAGAAGAAAAAAGGTGCGCAGGGTCCCGGCAGGAGGGGATGTCGAGCCTGGGGTCTGGATCAGCACTGACCTGCTCCACAGCACCTCTGATCCCCGCTTTGTCCCTTCGCTGTGCCCCCGGGCAGGGTCAGCTGCAGGCAGTACCTCCCTGCCCACCTTCCTGCGTGACAGGGGTGGGTGACTTTGGCTGTCACGTGAAGTGGAGTGTCACGTGAAGGAGGAGTGGAGTTGTAGCATCCTCAGAGACCAGCACCTTTAGGGATCAGTGCCTTTTCACTGCTGGCACAGGCAGGGATTGATGCAAGGTGCTGAATAGCCCCTTGGGATGGCTGGATGTGAGCAGAGAGGTGGGATAGTTCTCCCTGAACAGCACTTTGCGTTGTGAGCGCCAAGAGAGAAGTTCCCAAGCTTAACCGGGCAGCTCCATCCCTCAGAGAGCTGTGGTCCAGCCTTTCCGCTCTGTCCCTGCCTCCCCACTCTCTCCCCGCACACCCCACGCAGGGGGCTGATGCCCCGGGGTGATGTTGTTGTTCCTCATAGACTGCCCGCCGGGGAGCTTCCTCTGGCTCATCCCGCTGCTCATCTTCCTCATCCTGCTCCTGGGGCTGCTGCTGCTGCTCTGCTGGAAGTTCTGCGCCTGCTGCAAGGTGAGTGCTCCGGCCGGCTGTCCCAGCCTGGGGAGAGGACCAGATAAAGACCAAAACGATGACAAATTTTCAGAATCCACTCAGTCTCCAGCATGGCCAGATCGGCAGGGGCTGGGTCCCAGTGGTACCCAGTACCTGTGCTGTTGGTGACACGAGTTGCTGTGGGATTTCCCCCACTGAAGGGTTGTCTGGCTAAAATCAGCTTCCAGAGCCCCATCCATCCACTGCCCATCCATCCCTGCTGATGTGAACCCTCCCAACTGGAGATGTGGGGGGTTTTGCCCTCGGCCGCAAAGTGATGCTGTCTTTACCCATCTGTTTTCTAGGCTTGCCTGGCCCTGCTTCCCTGCTGCGCACGAGGTACCAGCCCTTTGAACTGGAGGGGGAGAGGGATCGGTGGGGTTCACTGCCTTCCCAGGTTGGGGGAGCATGCTGCGATAAATGTCCCTCCTCCTCCTCTCTAAGCTGGCGAGGTGGATCAGGGGAAAATCTTCTGGCAGAGAGCCTGAGCCAAGGATCCTTTGAGCTGCTGCTCCCTGTCCCACACCCTGGTGTGCCCTGCCGGGAATCCCGCTGCTGGCTCTGCCCTGACCAGTGTCCCTTGTAGTGCCTAGCTGGTGTGATGTGCTCTCCCCACTCATGGACACCCCTTGCCCTCTCCAGCCCACTCCACTCCTGACATCCCAACAACCCTTAGCATGGTAGAAGCCCTAAAGATTCCCCAGAACAAAGTCTCCAGTGTTGGGAAGTTGATGGCTGGCGTTATCCCAGTCTTCCCAGACTCTGACCCTATCCCTGGCTCCGCAGGTCGCACTGTTGGCTTCAAGGAGGACCACTACATGCTTCGGCACAGCCTCATGTCCTCCGACCACCTGGACACCCCCATGGTCCGCAGCGGGTCCCTCAAGGGTCGGGACACAGTTCGCTGGAAGATCAACAACAACGTTCACAAGCAGGGCTTCACCTCCCTCGCTGCCACCAACCCCAAAGATCTCAGTGAGTGCCACGTCTGAGGAGCAGGGCGTAGAGGAGATGCTGTGGGTGCCATAAAGGACACGAACCCTCGGTGGTGGCCCCCAGCTCCAGCAGCACATGGTGTTACCTCCAAACCCAATTCCAAGGGGGGTTTGTTCCTTGGTCTACTCCCATCCTGGGGGAAGCAGAGCAGCACCTTCCTGTGTCCAGCCCACAGCCTTGGAGACCCCCTGACAGCCTGGCTGTGTGGTGGATGTACCCTGCACGTGTTTCATTAGCTCAGGGACACAGCCTTCATCAGTCCAGAGCCACCACTGGACACTGTTTCCTTTGCTGGATCTAGCAGAGTGTTTCCCAGTTAGCCCTCCAGTTCTCGGAGGGTTTTCTCTGCTGGTGCTGTGGGGTTTGGGTGCTAGCGATACAACATCTGGACACCGAGCATCACGCGTGTCCCCATGCTTGCAGCTTTTGGCTGGGTTATTTCTCTGACCCAGAAGGCAGGAGTTTGATTTGGGAATTTCTCTTCCCAGTTCCCTACGGGCTATCTCTGAGGCTGACTCGGCTTTTCACGCAGAACCTGGTGAAGCCGGACAGCCGGGAGTGCGAGCAGCTGCGCAAGGAAGTGGAGGAAAATGTATGTGTTGGGTGGTGCGGGGTGCCAGCCACGCTGAGGGGGGTGTTGCGATGCGGGGTAAGGGTGGAGTGCCCCTTCCCTAAGAACCCAGACAGCTCTTGAAAGGAAGAAGCAATTTTTCATCTTTCTGAAAGAAAGGGCAAATTTTAAGATCACAATTGTGAGAATTATCAAAGCATCATGTTGATGAGATCTGAGGTTTGCTTTGGGGCACATGCTCTGAAGCTCCTGTTTGGCTTCAGTTTGCAGCCTCTTGCCATGTCCTGGGGAAAAACCACGCGGTGGTCTCTGCCTGGTGTGGCACGGCGAGGAGGGGGGGAACCCAGGGGTGGCCAGAAGGCTCTTGTGTTTGCTGGCAGCAGCATCTGCTCGCTGAACACATCCCTGTTCAGCAAGGGATACGTTGTGAAAGTCCCTTTTGCTCCTTGCAGCTGAATGACGTTTTCAAACACATCCCTGGTTGCCACAAGCTCCAGCAGACCAAGTTCAGGTGAGTGATGAGGGGAGAAACCTCCCGTGGGGCAGGGTTCCCCCAGGCCCTGCTGATGAGGGAGCGGACCAGAGGGCTGGGGTGTGAAATCTGGGATGCCAGGAGGGAGCATGGTCTGAAAGACATCCCCGGCACAAACGCAAGCCCAGTGCGGTGCTTCACCCACCCAGGGCTGTGCAGGTGACCTCAGCTGCAGCTGGCTTTGGACCTGAGAGTCCTACAGACAGGGACAAATCCTGGTCGTGTGGTGCTCAACAGGAAAATTCCCATTGACTTCCAAAGTTTCAGCCCTGTGCAAAGTTACGAGGGCCTGGTGCAGGATGGAGGAGCCTGGGGACACCGGCGCTGAGCAGGGACTGTTCTCCCCTCCCCACGGCTCTCACCAGATGTGATCTCCCCTGCGGGCACGTTCCTCACTGCGTTGGGAAACCCAGGGCTGGAGGGAGCAGCCAGGCAGGAGGGAACATGCGATGGGCCGTGGGTTCTGCAGGATGGGTTGGCACCCGCAGGGCAGCTGCTGCAGCTCAGACCTGCACAGGGCTGTGATTCACACAAAACTTTGTCTCTCCAAATGTGTTAGTCACTCTGATTTGGTTTGTTTCGTTTTTTTTCCCCCCTCCAGGTTACAGCCCAATTCTGGGAAAAGGTGAGAAGAACTTGCAGCCCTCTCTTGTGCTGCTTCTCCCTCTGAACGCTCAGGTGTGGGGTGACTGAATGCCCCACGTACTCACTAGCCCCTCCAGCTGCTATGTGAGATGGGCAACCCTGGCCTCAGCTCTTACCCGGTTTTCTCTTCCCATCGGTCACAGGCAGGACCACACCATTGTGGACACAGTGCTCACTGCCCCTCGCTCAGCCAAGCCAGAGATCATCAAAGTGATGGAAAAGCACGTTTCCCATGAGGCTTTCAACGACCTCAAGGTTTCACCGGGTTATTACACTGTGACCTCAGATCAAGGTAGGGAGCAGACCCCAGTGCTGCATCCTGGCTGGGCAGGGGGGACATTTCCCACCTCTCACCATTGCCCCTTCCCCCAGATGCTCATGGGATGGTGGAGTTCCAAGAGGCTGTGGAGCTCGTGGATGTCCGTGTCCCACTCTTCATCAGGGACGACGATGATGATGAGAAGCAGCTGCAGGTGGAGGCCATTGATGTCCCCACCGGCATCGCAGAGATTGGACGCAGGCTTGTCAACATCACCATCATCAAAGAACAAGGTGAAGGGCTGCGACCGTGGCATGAGATGAAGGGTGTTTGTGTTTGAGTGTCCCGTGTCCAGGTGGACTCGTGGTTTCTAAGGAAGGCACAGTCCATGTATCTGAGCTCCCCCAGATCACAGACCAGAGACTTGTTTGGTGACTCCTATCTTAGGTAACCTGGGTCTAAACTAGAGCATCTTTTAAAGCATCCAAAGGATCATTATCCCTGGTGACAGAGACCCAAGCATTTGACCATCACAAGTTTAGATGCTACCAATTCCATGGCAGATCCAGGGTTGACCATACGCCTCTGCTGCACCAGCTCATAGGTTGCTGGAGTGAAGTAAAAACTCTTTGCTGTTGTGTTGTGCTTGAGGCAAGTGAATGTCCTCAGCAGTTTGCCTCTGCTTTCTCTCTGGTTGTCTTAAGCGGGGAGCGTGAGTCAGGAGTGGTAAAGTCTCCAGCCCATGCAGTAATATTTCATACCCAGTTCACACCCATGGGTGATACAAACTCTGTTCAGGGAGGACACCTGTGTGTCTGTAATGTGATTCTTCACGTGTTTGCTCTACACATTCCTTCTCTCCGGCCTCTTCTAGCCAGCAGCCTCATCACCTTCTTGCAGCCAGCCTATTCCCACAGCCGCTTCGATAAGCTGGCCAAGATCCCTGTCCTCCGGGAGATCATAGACAACGGGAAATCCCAAGTCACCTACAGGACCCGGGATCTGACCGCCAAGAACGGCAGGGTAAGGGGGATGCTCCTGGCCTTGGCAGGCAGGAACAGCGGGCACAGAGCGGGGGGAAGGAGCCCACCCAGGGGCTGCAGAAGAGCAGTTGATCAGGCACAAAGGGGATGTGGCTGGGAGAGAGGAGACCCAAGGCTTGAGGTTAGCACAGGAGCAGAGATTCCCCTCCGTCCTTTGCTTCAGGGACCTGAGGGGCTGTGCCTGTACTTGAGGCAGAGGGTACTGGCTGCCCCCTGAGCCGTCGGCACTGGGAGGCAAGTGGGGATTCACTGGGAGACAAAGGGAAGCTCTCTGGGAGCCTTCTCATGGATGCTGAGGGCTGTTATCACCCACCTCTTCCTTCTCCTCCAGGACTACATCTTCACAGAGGGTGACCTGGTCTTCCAGCCCGGGGAGACCCGAAAGGAGGTGCAGGTGCCCTTGCTGGAGCTGACCGAAATAGATACCCTCCTACACAACTGCCAGCTCAAGCAGTTCGCCATTGACCTCCTCCATCCCAAGTACGGTGCCAAGATCGGCCGATACCCCCAGACCACGGTGACCATCGCCGACCCAGGTAGGGGCTGGCAGGCAGGCGGTAGG